GCAGCTGCCCCTGGCCCCTGGAGCAGCTGCACCTGCAGCCGCCCCTGCAGCGGCCGCCCCTGGCCACTGGAGCAGCCGCCACTGCAGGACCCGCCCGTGGCCCCTGGAGCAGCCGCCCCTGGAGCAGCCGCCCCTAGAGCAGCCGCCACTGCAACAGCCGCTCCTGGACTCGGTGCAGCCGTGGGGGGGTGGGTATGGGGGTGGCGGGTGTGGGGGTGATGAGTGTGGGACAGGTGGGGGAGGTTGAGTGGAGGTGGCCGCCGTGAAGCCAGCAGCTCCAGTCGCCCGTGAGACCTTTGCGCTAGTCGCCCGTGAGCCCGTCGCTCCAGTCGCCCGTGAGCCCGTTGCTCCAGACGCCCGTGGGCCAGTTGCTCCTGCCGCTTGTCTAGCCGCGGAGCCAGTTATTCCAGTTTCCCGTGTGCCAGTTGCTCCAGTTGCCAGTGTGCCTGTTGCTCCAGTTGCCCATGTGCCAGTTGCTCCAGTTGCGCAGTGTGTCTGCAGCTTCCGTCGTCGCCTCCCATCTCCTCTCCTGTCACAGTCCCTCCTCCTCCTCACTTCCCCTCTCCTTCTCCTGCGCTTGGTGTACCCCTTCAGGGGGCGTTGACGGCACATTCTTCCCTACAGGCACTTATGGGGGCATGTCAGAATAATATATATAATTCTATATATTGTTCTGTAACTGCCTGTAGTGTAGGATACTGTAGTCATATAACTTTCTTGTTGGTGGTGCACCTTGCATGCTCTGTTTGCTATATGTACTCTTGTGCTATAGTGAACAACACATTCTCCTTCACAACTTTCTTGACACTTCTCCTCACCCTCGACCTCTCAACTACTAAGCTCCTAAGCTATGGCTCCTAAGCCTACTTAGTCTCTTCACAGCTGCACCGTGCGAAGAAGTGGTAACTGGGTCGAGCTACCTCGCTGGCGGTCGCCCGAGTCTTCAACGGTACACGTCAACGCCATCACAATGAAACGGGCTGTCGCTGCTAGAGCTGACGTGTACGCAGTAGACATCGCAGAAGTAGAGGAAGCGGAGCAGCCGAGTGATTTCCAGAAACTGCTGGTAGCCGTACCGCCCGAATTACAAGAACTGTTGAAACGATACCCCGGGATTTTTCCCGACGACTTACCGGGAGGACTGCCACCTCAGCGAGCACATGACCACCGAATCAAATTAGAACCGGGGGCACAGCCAACCGTACAGATCCAGTTGAGACTAACACAGCGCGAGCTCGATGAACTAAGGAAGCAGTTGGATTACCTGTTACAGAAAAAAATCATCAGACCGAGCTCGTCTCCGTTCGCCGCACCGATACTATTTACGTCGAAAAAAGACGGGGGTTTTCGCATGTGTATCGATTACAGTGCACTGAACAGGGTAACAGTCAAGTCGCGGTACCCCATTCCCCGCACTGACGAACTGATCAACCAACTGCGAACAGCACGGGTTTTTTCGAAAATCGATTTACGGGGAGGTTACCATCAGATTAGAGTCAAACCATCAGACTGCGCCAAAACAGCTTTCAGGACTAGATACGGGTCGTTCGAGTACACTGTGATGCCATTCGGGCTTGAGAAAAGTAGAACGAGAATGGATTGACTAAGGAATGGAAGTGATACAAATATGCAACCCTAGAAATGTGTACCCCATATAGGCTACCCCACTATAGCCTACACAATATTATAATTCGACACACCCCCATAGGCAAAGTGGGGGAGAACAAGGGGTCACAAGACCAGTCAAGCAAAGCAGACAAAGCTCAGGGTGGATCACAACGTCACCACACAGTCCGAGCACAAGGTCAGGGCCACAAGGCCAGTTCACATGTAGGAGTACACATATATATATAAGGCTAAACAAGCAAGAGCAGGTATACATATATATGGAAGGGTACAAGCAAGGTCAAGTGGTGAGCAAGTGAGGCAAGACAGGTACAAGACCCAGCTGAGTGCAGAAGCGCTGATGATCACAAGGCGGAAGTGCCTTGGTGAAAACATCAGCAGTGTTGGCCTCAGAGGCCACGTACGCAAGTCGCAACTGACCACGCTGCTGCAACTCACGAGCAAGAAAGTAGCGGAGAGCAATGTGCTTCGTTCTGTGCTCCAGGCGCTGCTCCCGACACAAGGCCAACATGGCCTTGTTGTCTACGTACAGCACTGGAGGAGAACGAGGCGGCTCTCCTAGGTCAGTCAGCAGGTAGGTGAGCCAGCGAAGCTCCTGTGCAGCCATGGCCCCTGCGTAGATCTCAGCCTCACAACTGGAGCCAAGAACAGAAGACGAGCGAGTAGCCCGCCACGAAAAAGAGCCGGAACCAAGACTGAAGGTGTAACCCTGTGACGACCGCTGCGTAGCTTGGTCGTCAGCCCAAGAAGCGTCTGCGTGTCCAGTGAGGACCACTGGACTCCGCCCTCCAAGCACTAGCCCCATGCCCGACGTACTGCACAAGTAGCGCAACACCCTCTTCGCTGCAGCCATGTGCTCTGGTCTGTGTCTCCCAGGAGCAACATAGCGTGCAAGAATGCTAAGAGGGTATGCAAGGTCAGGTCGTGTGCAGGTCATCAGGTACATGAGGCAGCCAACAAGCTCTGGGTACGGGCCACTCGACTCTACGAACTCATCCGAAGGCAGAGCTGAGAGCGAGTGGCGAGTAGACAGAGGAGTGGCCTGAGGCAAGGAGTACGTGAAGCCGAAGCGCTGAAGGACCTGCTGCACCATGTGTGACTGAGTCAAGGTAATGGTGCGGCGTGCTCTGTCCCGGGTGATCTGCAAGCCAAGGTAGCTGCGCAGTTCACCCAGGTCTGTGCACGTGTGTCTCTTCTGCAGCTCGGACTTCACGTGGGCGAGTCCAGCAGTGTCAGCTGTGGCAAAGACCAAGTCGTCGACCTACACGAGGATGTAGAACGGCAGCAGAGAGGTGTCGGTGCGCAGAAACAACGACGGGTCAGCAGTAGAGGGAGCAAACCCAAGAGCCGCAAGCGTAGTCCTCAGTGTGTCGTGCCACTGTCGGGGTGCCTGGCGAAGACCGTAGACTGGCCGTCGGAGGCTCCACTGGGTGCCAGGAGGGAAAGTCCCAGTGAAGCCAGGTGGACGGCGCAGCCAGATCTCCTCGTGCAGGCTACCCTGCAGGAAAGCAGTGCTGAAGTCAAGGGAGTGAAGCTCGTAGTCACGCTGAGCGGCTTTGTGTAGCAGCACCCGAAGAGTGGTCATCTTCGGGGTGGGAGAGAAGGTCTGAAAGTAGTCAACTCCCTGCCGCTGACTGAAGCCACGAGCCACGTACCGCGCCCTAAAGACAGGTGGAGAGCGTGGCGGCCGCTTCACCCTGAAGATCCACATGCCACTGACGATGTTCGACCCAGGAGGAGGAACAGTGTCAACGTAGGTGCCTGTGGACTTCCAAGAAGCCATCTCTGCATCCATAGCTGCCTGCCACTGAGAGGAGTAGGGACCCTCTATCGCCTCCGCGTAAGAGCGCGGAGTCGAGATGTCTAGTGCATCCGGGTCTCCCTCACGGGTAAGCAGTACGGACACGAGATGAGGTGAAGCAGCAGCCAGACACTAGAACTCCTCCTGCCTTTCCTCAAGGACGTCCGTGCCAAGAGCACACTCACCCCCGACGGACGGAGGACAGACTGACGCAGACTCAGCAACAAGACTAGCAGCGTAGTCTAGACGACAGCGAGCAGCAAAGTCGACGAGCTCAGCAACAAGAGCAGACGCAGCAGTGGACTCAAAAGAGGGGTCAGTGACGACAGTAGCAAGGAGACGCGTGACGGTAGGACTGGCAGCACGAAGAGAGTCCGACTCTGGGTCGGCAAGAGCAGGAAGAGAGGACTCAGGAGGAGAAGGCAAAGGGACACGCAGAGGAGCAGTGGACGGACGCAGAGACATCCGGTGCGTGCCAGGGACAGGAGGAGGACGCTGACGCGAACCGCGACCACCAGCGCAAGCAGCACTAACAGGCAACGCGGGACGAGACGCAGGCTCACAACGCTCAGCAAGACCTTCAGTGGAACCAGTGTAGGGAGAAGGAGCCGGCAGTGGGGAGGCCGGCGGTAACTGTGACTGTGACTGGACAGGCGGTGGACACTCTAAGGGAGGAGGAAGGCCAAGAACTTGCTGAAGGAGCGGAACAAAGTACGGCCGAGGCCGCGCGGCGACTTCAGACACAGCAGGGACAGAATAAGCACCCCCAGTGGCAGCACCAGCGCCAACAGCACCTCCAGCTCCAGTACCTCCAGCAGCACCAGCAGCACCCGCAGCAGAACCGCCGCTAGGACTCACAGCAGTAGCCTCAGCGCCAACACCCTCACCAGCTCCGACTCCAGTCGCACTCGTCAGCCCAGCAGCTCCAGCACTCCCAGGGCGAGCACCTCCGAGACCGGCTGCACCAGAACCCTCCGCAGCCGAAGAAGCACCAGCTCCAGCAGTTCGGCTCCAGCGCCGGGCAAACCACTCACGCAGCTCCTGTGGAGAGAGCGGCTCCCGCCGAGACGATGCACCCGGAGAACCTCCAGGCCTAGCACCGCCAGACGCCACACGGGTAGGTCCAGCGGCCGCTGGCTCCGCACCACCAGGCTCAGTAGCTCCAGACGCAGCACCCCCAGGCTTAGCACCCCCAGTCGTAGCACCCCCGGGCTCAGCACCCCCAGTCGCAGTACCCCCAGGCTCAGCACCCCCAGTCGTAGCATCCCCAGGCTCAGCACCCCCAGTCGCAGCACCCCCAGACTCAGCACCCCCAGGCTCAGCACCCACACGCGCAGCACCCCCAGAGTCAGCACCCCCAGGCTCAGCACGCGCAGCAGTACCAGAGTCACCAGCAACCTCGACCGGCTCGACTGCGTCTACCTAGGACAAACCTGAAGGGGCAGGACCCTGAGGGAGGAGGGGGTCTACCAGGGGGGGACCTGGCACAAGGAAGTGCGGTGGGGGGGGGGAGGGAAGGAGTGCGGTAGGGGAAGAGGCGGTAGTAGGGGACTGACTCGTCGAACGTGACGTCCTAGGAGGACAGAACACGACGAGAGGTGGGGTGGTAGAATTGCCACCCAGGGGCGTCAGGGGGGAAGCCAAGGAAGACACAGGGAGCAGCACGAGAGGACAGCTTGTCCGCAGACAAGTCGCGGACAAAAGCTCGAGATCCCCAGACACGGAACGCAGACGCATCGCCGATCTTCCCCGTCCACAGCAAGGCTGGGGAGGTCTCCGGCCTGGAGACCCTGGGGTGAAGGTTGATCTGATGCGCCGCGTACCGAACCGCAAACGGCCACAGAAAATGGGGGGCAGCCGCATGCATCATGGACGTACGAGCGACGTCCATGACCATGCCAATGCGGCGCTCAGCAATCCCATTTCGCTGTGGAGAGTCCGGTAGCGTAAAGGTCTGGCGGATGCCTCGCGCACGACAGTAGGCTCGCAGAAGGCCAGAGGAGAACTCTCCGCCTCGGTCAGAGTGCAGACGCTGAATAGGAAAGTCCGAGCCGAAGCTCCTCCTGAGCTGAAGACTAGCTGCGCGGATCCAGTCGATCAACACCTCAGTGACATCACCCTTACTGCGCAAGGGGAAGACTGAGGTGTAACGCGAGTAGTCATCAACCACCAGCAGGAAGTAGCGCTCGTGACCCTGTCCACGGACGCGGGCTGGGCCCCACACGTCCATGTGAAGCGTCTGCAGCGGGGCCTCTGTCGGGGGAAACTGAGAGGAGTGAGGGGCAGCTTGGAGCCGCCCCTCGACACAGGGGACACAGGAAGGACCAGGCCCCGGAGGAAGGGGAGGGAGGGACCGGGGAAGACCAAAGACAAGGACACGGGAAGCCATGCCTCGGAGACAAGGCAGGGAGGGTTGACAAAGACGGCGGTGCCAGAGGAGAGTCGCGTGAGACAGGAGGCGACACGAGCAGGGGGCAGACTCAGGATTAGACCTGGACGCTGCAGCAAACACCTGACCCGACGCAGCTACCTGACCAGACGCAGGGACTGGAGGAGACGCAATGGTCAGTGTGTACAGGCTCGACCCTGGCCGACGTGTAAACGTGGCCAGGTGTCGGCCTGTCCGAGCGTCCGTGCAGTGGGTCACCCGCTGACTCGCAGGAGTGAACTGGTGAACCCCCGCATCCTGTAGGTCAGCATCACTCACCAAGTTCGTAGAGAACGAGGGGAGGTAAAGACCAGACAGGGTGCCAGAGGGGGCCGCCGGACACGGGAGGACAGTGGAGTCTGCCAGGAGCGAGAAGCCCCTGAGTCTGCCAGAGAGACAGAGGGGTCTGCTAGAGAGACTGCAACTGGCCAGCCAAGCGGCGTGAGTGTGGTGCGGTCTCGAAAGAAGGAGCGAGAAGCCCCTGAGTCAAGTGTGAAGGTGAGGGAGGCCGAAGCCGACGTGGTACCTGAGAGCGCAGACTCACCAGCACCTGAGGGCGCGGACGCACTGGCACCTAGAGCAGCAGCCTCACCAGCACCTAGAGCAGCAGTACCAATGCCCGGGTCGGGCGGGAAACACCGATAACGGTCACCCTCATCACTAATAGTCACCGCATACATGGCAGCAAGGATAGCATCAAAGTCAAGATCAAAGATAGCTACGCTTGCCCTAGACAGCTCTCCCCAGCGGGGGATCTCACTAGCCTCCGGGAACTGCTGACGCCAAGCGTCCGTCAGGCGGCCAAAGCAGCGCTGGGTGGGGTGAGCACCCCCACATTGCTCACCCGCGCGGTCGCCAGAGCGAAGGACGTAGGTGCACGGGCCAAAACCCCCACCACGCTGACGCTGCGTGTACCACTCACGGAGCTGCTGAGGAGGGGGGATGTCCCGAGAACGCTGCTGCTGCTGCTGCTGCTGGCGCTGACCACTCCCGGAGCCGCTCCGCTGCGAAGCACCACCCCGACCAGCTCCACCTCCTCCACCACCGCCGCCTCCACCCCCGCCACCACTGCCGCCTCCGCTCCCACCGCTACCGCCACCGCCGCCTCCGCCTCCGCCGCTGCCACCGCCACCTCCACCCCCGCCACCACTCCCACCGCCACCCCCACTCCCTCCGCCGCCTCCACCGCCACCTCCACCACCCCCGCTAGCCCCACCCGCGCCCTTGCCCCCCTTGCCCTTGCCAGAGCGGCGTCTCCCGCTAGGGGCAGACGCCGCACCGACCGACTCAAGACCAACGAGGTCGGCCGCAGCAGCAGAGGCGACAGAGGGCAACAGGGGGAAGGGGAACACCCCTCAAAGATGGGGGTGCGAGGGTCACCACGAGAGGCTCCTACAGCGACTATGCTCTTCTCCGCTGCTAGGAGGGCCTTCTCTAGGAGGTCAACAGTGAGAGTGGTGGGACAGACTGAGAGGAAGTGGTCCCTGACTACGCGAACGGAGTCAGGGAGGCGGGTGACTATATAATAGAGAGTGATGTACATGGGGGGGGGGGTTCTTGGCGCAGAAGTCAGCAGGAAGCGCGGCGCGGTAGCGAGTGTCACTAGTGCGGAGGTGCATAATGAGGTCAGCGACTGTGGGAAAGGCAGCAAGGTCACGAAAGAGGTACGGTAGCATGAGGCGGCTTAGTGCAGCAGTGGCAGGGGAAGAGTAGCGTGCAACGACAGCGTCGTACAAGGTCTGAGCACTCTTGTACTGACTAAAGTGCGCACGCTCAGTGGTAGGCAGGTGGCGACGCACAGCAAGACGTGCAGCAGCATCGCGAGTGGCCCACTGGGAGCGAACAGTGGCTTCAGCATCGGCAGCAGGGGCAGGGGAAGCACCAGAGGTGAGGTCAAAGAGGGGAAGTCCGTCTGCCCTATCGCACTGTAGGAAAAGCTGCAGGTCATCCACCCAAACCTCAAAGTCAATGGCTCGACCCTCAGCGTCAAAAGCGAGAACACTGGGGGTAGCCATGACAACAGTGGACTAGCAGTACCAACTGTAGGACAGGGGCAGTACAGTGACAGAAGCGCTGCTCTCACCAGGCAGGGCGGGTCGGGCAGCTCAGCGGTACAGCAGCAAGGCAACACGGCTGCTCGGACGGCACTGCAGCAACTGCGGCTCCGTGGCACCAGCGGCTCGGCTCCTCAGGCGGCTCGGGCGGCTCGGGCCGGTTGGGCGGCTCGGGCGGCTCAGGCGAGTCGGGCGGCTCGGGCGGCTCGGGCAGCTCGGGCAGGTCGGGCGGCTCGGGAGGCTCGGGCGGTTCGGGCGGCTCGGGCGGTGTAGGGCGGCAGGGCCGCTGGTGCGAGGGGCGGCTGGGCCGCTGAGAAGGGCGGCGGGGCCGCTGAGTAGGGCGGCGGGGCCGCTGAGGAGAAGGGCGGCGAGGCCGCTCAGTAGGGCGGCGGGGCCGCTGAGGAGAAGGGCGGCGGGTCCGCTAAGTAGGGCGGCGGGGCCGCTGAGGAGAAGGGCGGCGGGGCCGCTGAGTAGGGCGGTGGGGCCACTGAGGAGAAGGGCGGCGGGGCCGCTGAGTAGGGCGGCGGGGCCGCTGAGGAGAAGGGCGGCGGGGCCGCTGAGTAGGGCGGCGGGGCCGCTGAGGAGAAGGGCGGCGGGGCCGCTGAGTAGGGCGGCGGGCCGCTGAGGAGAAGGGCGGCGGGGCCGCTGAGTAGGGCGGCGGGGCCGAAGTGAGGGAGGCAGCGGGGCCGCAGCAAAGGGCGGCGGGGCCGCTGAGATGGGTGGCGAGGCCGCAATGTGGGGCGACGAGGCCGCCAAGAAGGGCGGGGCCGCAGCGACGGGCGGCGAGGCCGCGGAGACGGGCGGCGGGGCCGCGGAGACGGGCAGCGGGGCCGCAATGCGGGGCGACGGGGCCGCTGTGACGGGCGGCGGGGCCGCACTAAAGGGCGGCGGGACCGAAACGACGGGCGGCGGGGCCGCAAGGGGAAGGGGCCGCTAGGGCGATAGGGCCGCTAGGGTGATAGGGTCGCTAGGTCGTAGGGGCCGCTAGGGCGGCTCGGCGAGGTGAGAGCCCGTAGCGCGACTCGGGCGGAGCGCGCTTCGGGCAGGAGAGAAAAAAAAAAGTGAAACTCGATGTGGTGGGCCCTAGGCACAGTTCCCAAGGGGGAACCTGCTCGATACCATGAGAAAAGTAGAACAAGAATGGATTGACTAAGGAATGGAAGTGATACAAATATGCAACCCTAGAAATGTGTACCCCATATAGGCTTCCCCACTATAGCCTACACAATATTATAATTTGACAGGGCTGACCAACGCACCGGCGACTTTTCAGATGACCATGAACGAGGCATTTTGGCCGCTCTTAGATAAATGCGTAATAGTTTAACTCGACGACATTCTAGTGTACAGTCGGGACAAGCAGCAGCACTTAGGAGATCTGGAAGCAGTCTTTAAGGTTTTAGACGAGCACAGATTACTGACCAAGGGTTCCAAGTGCGAGTTCTTCCAGGATAGGTTAGAATTTTTGGGGCACGTTATTTCGGAGGTTGGAGTTGAAATCGACCCAAAGAAGCTGGATACGGTAAAAGCGTGGCATCCCCCGACGAACATCACGGGGCTGCAGAGTTTTTTAGGGTTCGTTAATTATGTGCGTCGGTTCGTCCCCGATATGGCACGGTTAACTGCCCCACTGACGGATTTACTGCGAAAGGGGGTCGCTATTACGTGGGGGGAGAAAGAGCATGCTGCCTTCTCTGCCCTGAAAAATGTTCTCTGTTCACCACCCGTCCTACGCATCGCCGACCCACACCGCCCATTCGAAGTAGTTACCGACGCAAGCAATAGCGCCATCGGAGCCGTACTGCTACAGGATTTCGGCAATGGCCTATAGCCTATCGCATACGAGTCCCGAAAACTGCATCCGCCCGTGAAAAATTACCCGATACACGACCGCGAAATTCTTGCGATCGTGCACGCGTTCAAAGTATGGCGCTGTTACTTGACTGGCGCGGACGTGACAGTACGGACAGACCATAAATCACTACAGTACCTTCGCGCACAGCCACACCCCAACCCACGACAGATTCGCTGGCTCGATTTCCTCGAGTCCAACTTTCACTACACGGTCACTTTCAAAAAGGGAGCCTCGAACATCGCCGACGCACTGACCTGCCCCACTGCCCAGATCCACGCAATACTACTTGCCCAGACAAGCCCGCTACTGATAGGCCTATTCACCTACGGGTACCAAACGGATCCATTCTTCACAGGAGGAAATTCGCAGCAGTTCGCATCAGCAAAGGGAGTCTATTACGTAAAAACCGGGACCGACCGCATCTGGGTGCCTGGGTATACACTGCTTCGGGAATTACTGTTACAGGAGGCACACGACGGAGTTACCTCGGGGCATTTCGGAGTAGAAAAAACACGGCAGCAGCTGCAGCGGTACTATTGCTGGCCCGAAATGTTGACTGACGTACAACGACACGTGGCATCGTGTCCCACTTGTCAGCTCATGAAATCATCACGACAGCGGCCGGCGGGACAGTTGCAGCCGATACCACCCCCAGAGCGTGCTTGGCAGCAGGTTACGATGGATTTCGTCACGGGGTTACCAGCCGGGGCGAGTGGGAAGGACGCGATCCTGGTCGTCGTCGATCGACTGACGAAAATGGCACATTTCACAGCCTGCAAAAAATCAATCACAGCCGAAGAAACAGCACGCCTCTTCATCTCCACCGTCGTTCGAATGCACGGGATACCAGCCGCGATCATTAGCGACCGCGATACGAAATTCACCAGCAACTTCTGGCGAAACCTGTGGCAGCAGTTCGGCAGGCGACTACAGTTCAGTTCATCATACCACCCCGAAACCGACGGACAGACAGAACGGACAAATCAGACCATGGAACAGCTCATCAGGGCCACGTGTGACGACCCGACCACGTGGGAACAGCAACTGCCACTTATCGAATTCGGGCACAACAACTCGCCATCCGCCACGACCCAACAGTCACCATTTTACCTAAACTACAGACAAGAACCGACAGTACCGGTACCCATGACCCCGAATCCCGACAACCCAGTACCACGAGCACAACAGTTCGCCGAAATATTACAAGCAGCACGGACCCGGGGAGTAGACGCAATAAAAAAATCGAACATCATCGCTAAACGCAACACCGACCGCCACCGTAGACCTGTCACTTACCAGCCCGACGACTTAGTTTTACTTGACACTCAGAACCTCCGACTGCCCATCACCCCGAAACTCCGCCCCCGATACTGCGGGCCATTTCGCATAAGCCACATGCTTACACCCGTCACCGCCCACCTCCTCCTCCCTGTTGACTGGTACGTCAGCCCCTGATTCCACATCAGCCTACTTCGCCCTTACGTCCCGTCCACAAGCCAACTGCCACGCAATCGCCCAGCCAGCATGACAAGACCACCAACTGAACCAATCATCACCCCCGAGAAAATCCAGAGTCACAGAGTTCGCGACCCTCGAGGAGCCCGAAGGATCGAGTTCTTACTCCGCTGGAAAGACCGTACACCCACCTAAGACAATTGGGTTCCCCTGGACAGATTCGAAAACCAACCCGTCCCCACCGAGTATCTGCGCAGCTGCAATTTCAGGGATGTACACGCACTTTCGTAAGGAGGACCTCCTTAGGAGGGGGGGT